ATTAAATAAATAACTATAAGAATATAAAATATAAGTATTAAAAATAATTATTATGTATTTATGATATTTAATAATATGATTAAATCCAAAAAAAATTCAATATCAAATTCATTTTGAAGGTATTGATGAGACGATTATAATGATATAAATTATAAAAAACAAAAACACGTTTTTTAAAGTATTTTAGTTAATATATAATTATACATGATAATATGAGAGATGTATAAATAAGAAATGAAAAAGTAAATGTGACACCTCAAAATTGGGAATAAATAAATATTTCTGAAAAAAAAAAAGGAAAATTTATGATAAATGAAAATTGATTAATTTTTCAAACAAGAATAGTTGACAAATACTACAAGCAAGAAGTCAGAGGGGCTGTAATGTAGCTAGCCAAAGGTAGAGGGGTCTTTTTGTCAATTTAGTAAACCTTTGAATTTCTAAGAAATTAAAACGTCATTTTGATAGGAGTTTTTTTTTATTGACCTGGATATCCAACTCATTATGTGAGTCGATTAATTCCAGGACGACCACCTGTTTTACACATAATTTGGAGTCACCGCTTTGCACATAATCTAACTATCAATAAGTTAAAATTAATAATTAAAAATTTAAAATTAATAAGTAATTAATTTTGTAGGTATAAAATAAAAAAATGGTGAAAATCAGATTCCCTCGCCGAGCAGCGAGGGAATTGTCCTATTTTCTTATTTTTCTTGTTTTTATGTGTTATATATACACATTTTTATATGTAGGTATCGTATGTATACATGTTCGGTTTTATTGGGCTTTAACCCATTTAACTGAGCTTTGTTCGGTTTTATTGGGCATTAATCCAATTACCGGGCTTTATTGAGTTTATCGGGCCTTAATGAACTTTATTCGGTTTAATGGGTCTTAATGGGCTTTATTCGGTTTTATTAATTAATTTTTGTAATATTCTAATAAATAATAAATAATTGAAAATTTAATAATCAATTTATTAAAAATTAAAATTAATAAGTAATTAAATTTGTAGCATTAAAATAAAAAAATGACGAAAATCAGATACTCTCGCTGAACCCTAGCAGATCAGCGAAGGAATCTGCTTTTTGGCAATTCCCTCGCTGATCCCTTGCTAATATGCGAATGCGAGGGATCAGCGAGGGAATTGCCAAAAAGTTTATCCCTTGCTGATCAGCGAAGGAAATGCCAAAAAACTCATTCCCTCGCAGATCATCGAGTGATTGAGTTTTTGACTTTACCCTCGCTGATGTTCGTCGCTGATATATGGTTTTCTAGTAGTGTATTCTTTGTTTGTGATCTTGAATTTTGTCTGAAATCCAGATTTGTTATTCTTAGATTATCCCAAATCTGATTTTGTGATACTCCAAGCAATAGAATCAAAATCGTGATATATCATTTTAAATTGTTTAATGAGATATATATATATATATATATATATATATATCATAAATAATAATATAAAAGTAATACAAATATACAATTTTAGTATGTTAACATTTATAAGGCTTCTTCTTTTATTAGCTTAAAAAGGGATATAAGAAGAAGTAATGTATACTATAAGAATTTTTTTAATATGTTATCTATAAATTTAACGGTGGACTAGTATTTTTGTTGAGCATCTTTAAAATAGATCAAAAGTTTGTAAAGTCGTCTGATGTTTTTTAGTCAAATTCCACTGTCTTAAGTAGGGTGCTCAAAAACCCGATGAATCCAACCAACCCAACCCGAATAAAAAAAACCCAACTTGAGGTAACCCGATGCATGATTGATAAAAAAATTAGTCAACTCGACCTTATTGGGTTGGAATCGGGTCAGGCCCAAAAAAACCCGACAACCCGATGAACCCGACCTTAACTTTAGCTTTGAGTTGTAGATGACAATTATGACATGACCAACCTCAACGTCAAGAAAGCGAAAGCATCGGGGTTGGAAACGTCTAAAACTATTGTTGTTGATTGATGTATTATGATTTGGTTTAAACATTTTTTTATTGTAATATCTAAATATTTGATGAACTTGCATATTATCTTGAATGGTCGGTCGTAATTCAAAGGAAAATTTCTTTTATTTTTATGTGATTTTACATTGTTTAAACACAACCCGATCAACCCGAACGGGTTGGGTTGGGTTGAACTTTTGTTTGAGTTGGGTTGGGTTGAAAATTTTCAAACTGCCAACATTGAGTTGGGTTGTTAAAACGGCTCCAAACCGATCAACCCGAGCCGTGCGCACCCCTAGTCTTAAGGTATTCTTTTTTAAAGTTCTTTGATTGATTTTGAAAGTTTTTCTGTTTTTCGTTGATGACCCTTGCATTTTCTAATATTCAGAAGCAACCATCAAAGGTTAGCAATCCGTGTACCTACAAGCTTTTGGCATCAACGGATTATCAGCAACGAAAGACCGCTTTAGCGACAGATCATTCTCTCGCTGAACGGATACATGAAACTCTATTAGCACATTTATAGGTCCGCTCCGACATAGAAAAGAGATAATTTTGGTGTTTAAAATTATGGCGGTTATTTTTCTCTTTCTATAGAATTTTGATGGTAAAACTATTAATTTACTCTTTAATATAATTCATTTATGTTATTTATAAACAAAATTATTAATATTTGAGTATTTAAATAAAAAAAATTCTTTTTTTTATTAACCTGGATATCCAACCCGCTATGCGAGCTGACTATATTCAGGACGACAACCTGCTTTGCAGATCGCCCGGAGTCACCGCATTTGAATCTCCATGACTACAAGAGGATTTTTATTCCTCTTTGGATTTGAACCAAAGATGGGACCTCCTGATACTTTTGACCTTTAAAGTCAAGTTCAAACCAATAAAGCACCACACTTTTAGTGAAAATAAATAAATTAATTCTTAAACCATGTGAGGAATGAAAGAAGGAATAGAATACGTGTTCGCCAAACTCGTTTCTATACCTATTTATTCATCCACCTCAAACCCTCAAACCAAAACTCACACATAGAGAGAGAGAGACCAAGAGAGAGAGAGACCAAGGGAGAGAGAGAGAGAGAGAGAGAGAGAGAGAGAGAGARAGGGAGGGAGGGAGAGAGAGAGAGAGAGAGAGAGAGAGAGAGGTTTTAATGGGGAATTACAGGTTTAGATTATCAGATATGATACCAAATGCCTGGTTTTACAAGCTTAGAGACATGAGCAAGACAAAGACTTCCACCAACCACAACAAGAAACCACCACCTTCTTCAGCCTATCACTCATCATCAACCACCACAGCACCACCGCACCACCACCATTTCTCACACCCAAGAACCTCCTTCTACTACACCCCTAAAGTTAACCAATTCCACAATTCCCCCACATCCAAACTCCCACATTTCCCTCATGACCCACCAAGAAAATCTTCAAAGAGATCAAGACCTCACAGAAAAACCATCTACAGACCTTCTCCAAAGCACACTACTTCACTCGCCGAGTCGACTCAAACGCTTCGAGATTTCTTTCATTCTCCCACCACAAACACCAGCCTTGGCTCCCCTCCTGACCCCAACTCTCAATCTCCCTCCTCCGAGTCAACTCAGTCAGGACTCGCTACTGCCTCCTGGTGTACTTCTTGTAGGGTCAGTTCTTCCACTTCCGACATCATAATCGATATAAACGACAAGTCCCTCGCTAAAAAGATTGATAATTCAAGTGGGTTTGATCTGTCGCCTGAGATGGAGCTGAAACTTCCTCCGATCATAACAAAACCGGCGAAATCCACCCCGAGAAACAGACAAACCTCACTTTCCGGCAAAAAAGTCAAAGAAACCAACCAAACTCCGGCGAGAAAATCAGTCACCGGAGTTAAACTGAGACCCAATTCTCCAAAACTAGCAGTAAGCAAGAGAATTGTCCAAAAATCTGCACAGAAAAAGACCTTGTCGGAAAGCTTTGCAATTGTGAAATCATCATTCGATCCTCAAAAAGACTTCATGGTATCAATGATGGAGATGATCGTGGAGAACAACATTCGGGCATCAAAGGATTTGGAAGATCTTCTTGCTTGTTATCTTGCTTTGAATTCAGATGAATACCATGATGTAATCGTCAAAGCATTTGAGCAAATCTGGTTCGCTTTGCCAGATCTTTGACTTCTTAATTAGATTAAGTCAAGAAAAACCATAATTCCAACATAAATTTATGGCCAATTTCAATGCAAAAGCTGTTCGATCTTTGTGTTTAGAGTGTCGCAAGAAGGTCAAAAGTTAGATCACATTCTAAAAAAGGAAAATTTCTGACAAGTTTGGAACCAAATTGAAGTTGTTTTTTAGATAGTAAAAAGAGACATAATCTACTGACAACTTCGTTTTATTCAAGAGTAAAGACGATAGATATGTAGGTGTCAATTTAAGGTCGTAAAAGGAGTCGTGGGTGCATTTCCTTAATTATTCGTTTGGTTTATACGTACCGATTAATCCTTCAAACAGTACTGATCTGGAGTCATTGTAGATGAACTGTTACAGGGATTGAATTCGAACTCAGAAGAAGTTCCTTTTCTTTCTAACAAAATTACAAAAAGCCGGTATATTGATACAGTAAAGAGTGTGATATGTTAAAGACGAATGTAACTTAAAAGAATATATATCATCCTGAAACTGAAAACCGGTTAGTTGAGGGTCGATTCTGATATTAACTGGAATGGGAGAAAAACGTCTCCATGGTTAGTTTGAAAAGTATAAACTAAACAATATGTTGTTTTGAGTTTTAAAAAACCAGATGTGGTTCGTATTGTAACCTGTTATTGTCCCGTTTTGTATCAACTTCGTTATTTGATTTCGTAATAAGATCACTATCGGACTAACGTTGGAAACAAATATCGTTTTCGAATGTTACGTTTTTAATAAATATAATTCAATAACAAAATCTATATCATAGTTGTTTAACGTAAATCTACATGTCTGATAACAATTTTTTTTTTAAATATATGATTATCACTCTGTATACGGGCTCAGATTAATCATATATATATATATATATATATATATATATATATATACCAAAAAATAAAATAAATTTTTGATATGAAAATATTTTTTAAATAAAACTTTATTTTTTTATTATTATTATTATTATTATCATAATTTGTTTCTAAAATCATAGAGAAAGGGTGTAAAGGGGGTCCATATGTTGCATTTTGCCAACAAGAAATAAGAGCAAATGTAGTGTAAAGCAACTTTTAGTTTTCATTGCTTTGTCTAAAGTTAAAGCCACTTTTTTTAGTGTTGTATGATCAATAGAACACATAAAATGATTATATTTTAATAAATATATCATTAAAAAGATTCATAATTATAAGATAACAGATATAAGTCCGATTACATCAGTAATAGTTACTGTTTATGTTGTCAAATTGTTACTTATCTTGTTGTTGTATACTACAATCAATGATTTTATACTGGTTAATTTATATTAAATTATATAACTGATATAATTATGTGATTTATAAATATATTTTTAAGTATGCAAAAACATAAATGTTCAATAAACAGTTTATAGAATATATGACAGTATACATAAAAATATCGTGGCACGACATATAAACATTGATATCCGAATGTTTTCTTGAGGGTGTTTGTATGTGTGTTTCAAGACGGATTATATGATTTCAGATAACGATAATTAGATGATTAACCGTTTTCTGAAGAATGTTTCGATGGTATTTAATGTTTAACAAATATAAATTATTTAAGAATCTAGTTCGAGGTTCAAATAATGAGTCTAAATATTGTAAGAAGATAATAATAGAAGGTTAAAAAAAGGGTAATTTATGGATCATTAATTGAAAAAAGTTAGAGGTCGTTTACCAAACACTTACCTGGTAAGTGTTTACGGGTAAAATTTAACACTATCATTTATTTATCGGGTAAGATTTTAGTCCACTAAAACGACATCGTATGCAACAATTTACCAGGTAAGCGCTTACTGTAGTAAGATTCGTTGACCTCACTTACCGGGTAAGACTCTTGGTCCTTATCATATTCATCCGGTAAGGTAATGTGACTTGATAAACGCTTACTCGGATAAGCGTTTGGTAAACTGCTTCTTAGATTTGAAGATAGCTTACGTGAACCAATATTAATGGATTTTAAGATAGATTTTTACAGATAACTTTAGCGATTCACGTATGAATATTCATATATTACATTCTCACAATATTTAACATATTTATTTAAATCGTGCCTTAAGAACCTAATGGGATAAAACACGGGTCAAATAAATGCATACAAGCAAGTTTATTTTGCTATAATTTATTACAACTGTTATTAAACTGATTATTTTGTCCTGTAACTAAACGTAACATGTTAATTAAGAACGATTTAAAACTTAACTTCATTTCAAACCATACACGGTTTTTTTTGTTCTTCTGTATCAGTACATTCTATCATACTACGTGTCCAACGTCTCTTGTCTATCCGATTCAAGACTTCTGGAGGCCACTGTATATCTTTTCAGACTGTTGTCTTCAGGGTCTCGCGAGATTTTAGTCAACACGCACACAAATTGATCCAGATACTCACAATTACAATAAAATCCCTCATCTCTGATGCAGACAATTTTTAGTTTCCGACTATTGAAAATGACCCACCTTTTAGATTAATTCAAAATAAATAAAACATATCAACTCGTTAAAATTCGTTCAATTTCAATAAAATTCGTATAAAACACAGAAGACGTATTAACTCGTTACAATTCGTACAGTTTTGATCCTAAACCACAATGTCCGTTATATCGTATAAGTGACCCCTAGACCTACCACCATTAAATGCTGTATGGCAACATTAATTAAGAATAGCATAGGATAATTAATTGTCTTCTTATTTTATTGAAAATCTTTTTGATGTCATAAATCATAAATTCCTTTTCTCTGAATACAATTTATGCACGTGATAGTAAAATACATAACCAAAAATGTATTACCGCTTTCATTATTATGATGTCATAATTAATTTTGTAGTCTTTATTATTTAAATATGATTTAAAATTAAACTAATTAAATTTGCAACAATTGTTATAATAATTATTAATAATAAAAAATATTTATTTATATTAAATGTTTATAACCACCATTTTTTCAGAAAAACCCAATTTTTTAATACTGATTTTACATGTTCAAAGCAGGTGGTCGTCCTAAGATTAGTCAACTCGTATAGCGGGTTGGATATCTAAGTTAATAAAAAAATGCACATAAAAGCATTTCATTTGATTACGTCCCCCTTTACATATTTGTATAAATTCATAGATGTATATTTATGCTATTATAATTAATAATGCAAGTACATTTAATTTTAATTCAATAATTAATAATGATATTACATTTAATAAGTAGCACTTATTTGTCAAATTATTCTTCCTTGAGTTATTGTTTCAAATTGAATATTTATTTAAATTATTGTAAACTATAAAATTTGTTCCATGTGGTTTGTCGAAAATCAATTTTTTGGTCTAGATTTAGGGGCCATTTACCTAAATACTTATTTGGTAAGCGCTTATCGTTAATATTCAACATTATCGTTTACTTACCGGGTAAGATTTGAATCCACCAAAACAACATTGGATGTAATAATTTACTCGGTAAGCGCTAACCGTGATGAGAGTCGTCGTCATCACTTACCAAGTAAGACTCTCGGTCCTTGTTTTCGCTCTTACCGGGTAAGATTCTTGATCCTTACCATAGTCATCCGGTAAGGTAATATGACTTGGTAAACGCTTATCCAGATAAACATTTGGTAAACGACCCCTTAGTCTCTCCCTCTAACGACAATTAAAAAATTCGTAAAAAGGAAGGCAATTTCGTCATTTTGTGAAAAAAAAAATTGCCTTTTACCAATCAAAATTGCTTTCCACGAGGCTTTTGATCTGGTAACAGAACAAAAAATGATAAAAATGAAAATGTCATTCATTTAACGGAATTTTTTTAACGATCGTTAAAGAGGAGGATGAAACCCAGACATTTTTGCAAATCACGATAACCATCTTATAATTTTAAAACTGAAAAGACGAAAAGTCAACAAACCACAGTGACCAAATTTGTAGTTACCCTTTAAATTAATTTAATCAAATTAATTTAAAATAATTTATTTGATATTTTTCAATTAAAAATGACGTCATTATTATTTTCTTATTTAAAAATAACATTATCATGAAAATATCTTGTTAGTAACAACTATTATATCTTTAGAGTAAAGCAACCGCAACCATTCTCTCACGTTGGGAAACCCTCCAAGGTACAACATGAAATGCACAACGTACAATCTATTATTGCACAAAAATTCTTCCCTAGGGTTTAAATCAGTATTTTAAATATTTAACAGTTAGTTTACTAGTCAACAACTAAATTTTCTGCGAACAACCAATTTATCAGTCAACAACTAGTTTATCAGCCAGTTTGTCAAAGGTAGTCAAATATTCTCATCTGAAATCAACCAGTTTGCCAAACGCAACCAAATATTTTCGTCTATCTCATGTTTCATCGTTTACATACCGTTACCACCACTGAATTTCGTTATCAGTAATTCGGTGCCTAGTTCCTTTTTATTTCCCCAACGAACCCATTTCTGAAAATACAATCATTAGGCACATCTGTTGAAACCGACATTCGACAGACCGATTATGACGCGACCGGCGTCGTTTCCCAGATCCGAAACGACCAAATTCAGAACAACATATAACTTCCGAACACGATGTACAAGTCACCAATGCACGACCATTCTGGATTCGGCCGTTATGGATCTAACAATAGCATAAAAAAGAGGTATGACAAGAAAGCTTCACATGGAAACTAATAACAGAAGATGGTGCAAATTAATATGATTAGGTCAAGGACCACATAGAAGGTCCATGACTCATGACATCCCCACAGAGACCCAACCCGCCGGTTGGACCACCGGAATTTGCTTTTCCCAGATAAAAATTACTAATTCCAGAACACTCCCATTTCTAGATCGACTTGTATGTCGTGCATCAAAAGTAACTGTAATAAAGTCGAGTTTAGACGACGTCACAAGTGTTTAAGTGTCTTAATAGATTATTTGATAGAATTTAAGTTTGAAAGACCAAACATGTGTGTGTCATATCTAAAAGCGTTTTAATAAGTTTATAAGACATTTTTGAAAGTCTTAAATAAACTTTTTAGCACAGAATGTCTTAACAAGTTCTTTAAGATACTTTTGAAC